GTTTTCCAAGTCCTTACCTACAGAGTATGCATCAAGCTTTTATATTTTTGCCAATCAGATCATTAAAAAAACTCAAAATGGTTTTTTTTAAAAAATATATCTTTATTGATTTCAGAGAGAGGAAAGGAGAGGGAGAGAGAGAGATAGAAACATCAATGATGAGAGAGTCATTGATCGAGCCCGCAACCCAGGCATGTGCCCTGACCGGGAATCAAACCCCGATCGCCTGGATCCCAGGTCGACACTCAACAGCTGAGCCACGCCTGGCTGGGCTCAAAATAGTTTTAATTAAAATTTCTTACATTATGATTGAAGTTAAACACCTTTTCATATGTTTAAGAGCCAGTTTATCTCCTTTAAAAATTGTCTGTTCAGCCCAGCTGGGCGTGGCTCAGTGGTTGAGCCTCGATCTAGGATCCAGGCAATCAGTGTTCGATTCCCAGTCAGGGCACATGCCCGGGTTGTGGGCTCGATCAATGACTCTCTCATCATTGATGTTTTTCTCTCTCTCTCCCTCTCCTTTTCTCTCTCTGAAATCAATAAAGATATATTTTAAAAAAAAAAAATTGTCTGTTCAGCCCTAGCCTGTTTGGCTCAGTGGTTAGAGTGTCAGCCCCTGGACTGATGTGTTTCTCTCACATTGATCTCTGTCTCTCTCTTTCTCTCACTCTTCCCCCCCTCCCCCTTCCACTTTCTCTGAGAAGCAATGGGAAAAATATCCTTGGGTGAGGATTGTAAAAAAAATTATCTGTTCATGTCCTATTTTCATTTTCCTATTAGCTTTTTAAGTGTTTCATCCTAAAAAATTTAAAGTTATTTACATATTTAGAGATATTAGCTCTTTGTCCAAGATTCAAGTAGCAAATATTTTTTGCATTTAATTTGCTTTTCACCTTTGTTTATGTTATTTTTTGTCATGCAACCCTTCCCCCTCTTTATTTTTATGTAATCAAATGGAGCAGCCTTTTCTTGTATTGCATTTAACTTTGGAATCATAGTTAGAAAACCTTGCTGTACACTCAGAATATAGAAAAATTCATCAATTTTCTTCTAGGACTTGTATGGGTTTTTTGGTTTTTATTTTTAGATCCCTGATCTATATGGATTTTATTCTTGTATTTGTTGAGGTATGGAACTAACTTTATCTTTTTTTTTTTTTTAGTGGCTATCCAATTGTCCAAATACCATATATTAAAAACTTTATCTTTGCCCCAGTGATTTGAAATAGCATCATCATATACCAGCTTCTGTATTGCCAGAAGGTTTTAATGATCAGAAAACCATACTTCTTTTTCAGCCAAAGTTATCATTATATATTGAAGTGAAGTACTTAATTTAGAAAAAATAAACAATTTAACCATACAGGGCTACCCATTGGTGAGACCTGATCATAATTTAGATAACAATATAATAACATCATGCTTGGGAAAAATTGAATACGTTCTATCTCCCTAAGGAGAATTTAGGTCTCTTGGGAGACTTTCATGTGGACAAATATAGCAGTCTTTTGCAGGCAGTCTCCTGACATACTTAAGCTTTGTGATATAATAAGCAATAAAAGAACTAATGTGGTCAAGACAAGAAGAGAACAGCACTCAGGTGGGAGAAGAGGCAAACATTTTTTTCTTAAACTTTTTACCTCTAAAATCAGATTGTACTTCTGAAATATTTTGATGAGATAATTTCTTCCTATTGTAAAGGTAGATAAAATGGAGGTCTTATAAAAACTTAATCTTGATATTCATAGATCATCTTTTAAAATCCAAGTATGCAAAACATTTTCTGCACAAATAAACTTCAGATAAATATTAAGGCTAAACCATCCAGCTTCCTCACAAAAATCCTTGAATCTCTCACCTGTCTAAATTGTGATACATGTTTGGTTGATCTGTTGGTTATCTGTTTTTAACACCATTCCTCCTCAAATGACCCCTTAATTTGACCTTAGGATATTCCTCAAATAGGCAAATTAAATTTAGCTGAGAGATTATTAGATGATATTTAGGGTTTTAAGAAGATAATGCATATATTTTTCTTTGAATGCAATAATTTAACAGTATCATGAGTAGACTTTTTTGATATTACTGACCCTCTGGGAATAAATCTTAGGTAATCACCTAATATTAAAAAATAATATTTGGGCCCAGCTGGTGTGTCTCAGTGATTGAGCATCGACCCATGAACCAAGAGGTCACTGGTTTGATTCCCGGTCAGGGCACATGTCTGGGTTTCGGGCTGGATCCCCAGTAGGGGCCATGCAGAAGGCAGCCGGTGGATGTTTCTCTGCCATTGATGTTTCTGTCCCTCTATTCCTCTCCCTTCTTCTCTCTCTCAAATCAATGAAAACATATTTTTAAAATGATAATATTAGGTAATATTTATGAAGAGCTTCCTCTGTGCTAGGCGAGGCCAGCATCATCGGCATGTGGCCCGTGCAGTCACACTGCCCCTATTCTTAGAAGGTCCCTGCACTTGGGTTAATGCTCTGCTGTCACCATCTGCAAATTCTTAGTAATTTTTAAATGAGGAGCCCCTTATTTTCATTTTGCATTAACCCCACAAACTATGTAACCAGTCCTGGTACCAAGCACTATGTTTATCAAGGAGAGTGTATCATTTAATTTATTATAGTTTTGAAAGATCCTTCAGGTTTCTCCATGTGAAACAGAATTTAGGGAAAACAAAAGAGGAGGTAAGAAGACCAGAGAGGAAGCTATGACATATTTAAGGTGGTTTTTACTCACGTAGCGCGGTAGAAAGGGAGAGTAATGGAAAGATTCCAATATATCTTGGAGGTAGTAAGCAATGGCGTGAACTGGTAATGAGTGGAATGTGAAGATGTAGAAAAAGATGTTAAGAATGACTGTAGGAATTTTTGACTGGGCTAGCGGTACCTCTTATCAGACAAAAAAAGTTTCGAGAAAGAACAGGTTTGAGGGTGTAGTTAAGAGTTGGTTTGGACATTAAGCTAAGTGAAAGAAGCCAGATACAAAAGACTGTGTATTTTATAATCTCGTTTTAATGAAATTTCTAGAAAAGATAAAACTACATAGGAAGTAGATAAGCGGTTGCCTGAGGCTGGGGGTAAGAGCAAGGGTTGACTGCAGACAGGATAAGGGAACTTTTGGGGTGACAGGAGTATGCTAAGACTGGATTGTGGCATTGGTTGCTTAACTGAATAAATTTTCTAAAAATCATTTCTTGTCTAGGTGAACTCTATGGTAAGGATAAAGCTGTTAAAAGATTAAAATAAGAGATTAAGGTGCCTGTGGTTATGTCAAGGAGTACTGTTATTATTCCCATTTTACAGATCAAGGAAATAAAAGAGAAGTTAAAAATAAAGGCTTCATGGTTACATAGCTACTAAGTGTAATATCTAGTATTGGAACTTGAGTCTTTTGGACACTAAAACCTCACTCTTGGCCACTATAATACATTTACTTTCTATTTAAAAATTATGTTGTTTGTGCATCTCATTGATCAGAGGCTCTCTTAAAATCATAAAACAGAGAAAAAAGAAGATAGAGTCTGGAAAATTGTACTGGTCTTATACACTGGTGCTTCCATTGCCCCTCGATATAGGTATGCCATCTTTGTTTCTCTCCAGTGAATTGTATTAGCACACCTTACTTGGTTCTTTGGCAAATTATGTTTTCCCTTTCAAATTATTTTGTTAATCTTGCTGACTGGCTATTTCAAGCCAGAACTTGCCTGTGTGGCCAGCTACTTTTCTGCCCTTGAATATTAAATGAAAGCATCTGAATAAACTTAAATGTACTTTATTTTGTTATATCTTATATTTATATTACCATATGTCAAAATTAAAAATATACTGCATATATTTTTATATTTTAAAATATTTTATTTATTTATATTTTATTATTTTAATATTTTTTGAGTATGATATATTGTATAACATGTATCTACATGCAATGGTACTAAACAAGTTTTACATACATATCGTGTTTCACTAAGCTTTCCCCTAGAAGAACATACTTTACACACCCTAGTGGGATTTATTTTTACTGCTGGTGATTATTTTTTGTAAAACATGATCTTTTAAAACTTTTTCCGTAATAAAAGATGGATGGAAAGAATTAGATGTATCGGTCATCACATCTCTGGAAATACTGACTGGCGAGTTGAGAAAAAGGCATGCGTAACAAAGAGGAAAACTAGGGATGACCTAAGTCAGTGCCAAGCAGTGAATTGCAGACACAAGTTATCTCATGACCAGTCAACGACATTTGGGAATGGAAACACAAGTTAACTCGTGACTGGTCAGCAACATTTGGACACGGAAACACGTGTATACTCATGACCGGTCAGCAAGGTATTTAAGAACTAGTTTCGTTAGGCCATCTGGTAGCTTGAAAGAGTGACTATATCTTCCAAAAATGCATATGGATGCACATAAATGACTTATGTGCATCCATATGCATTTTTGGAAGATATAGTCACTCTTATATATATATATATATAATCCTTAGTACATTTTACGATTACTATGCCATTAGCATGATGACTGCTATATTAATAAACATTAAATATAGGGAAATGTTAGTCAGAGGTACAAACTTTCAGTTACAAGATGAGTAAGTTCTGGGAATCTAATGTACAGCGTGGAAACTAAGGTTGCAGTCCTGTAGTACGGCGGCACCTCGGTTTTCCAACGTCTCCGTGGACGAACATTTCTGGTCGCCAGCGCCGTGAACCCGGAAGGAAATGCTTCGGTTTTCGAACCCGCCTCGGAAGTGGAACAGGCCGCGGCTTCCGCTGAGGGCAAGACCCTGAGGCCCAGCTGTCGGCTGGGATCCCTCGGTTTCCGAACGTTTCAGAACTCGCCCGGTCTCCCGGAACGGATTACGTTGGAAAGCCGAGGTACCACTGTATATACTTGAAATGTGCTTAGAGACAGATCTTAAATGTGCTTAACACACACATAAAATTGTAACTAGGTGAGGTGATGAATGTGTTAACTATATTGTAATCATTTCATTATATATACATATATTAAATCATTTGTATACCTGAAACTCATACAATTATATTTGTCAATTATACCTCAGTAAAGCCAGGAGGGGAAGAAGCATTAAGTGCCTACTGTACTAAACACCAGGGATACAAGTGATCATCAAAACAGGCATGGTCTCTGCCCTCCTGCAGCCTTTTTTTTTTAGTGGAAGTGGCAGACATTATGCTAAAACAAAAAAATAATTACAAAAATTTTAATTGTGCTAGGTTCAACAAAGGAAAATATAAGGTGCTCTGACAGAGCATAACAAAGGATCCTAGTTTTAAATGGGGCCTAAGGGAAAACCTCTGTTAGGAAATAACATTTAAACTGAGACCTGAAAGATCTGTAGGAATTAGCAAAGCGAAGGTGGGAAGGGAAAGGAGCTTTCCTAGGAGAACAGCCTATGTGAAGGCCCTGGGGCATAAAAGAGCTTGGCTGATGACCATGCTGAAAGCAGCATTATGGAATATCAAGAGAAGAAGACATGAGAACTTGGATACTATGCAAAGGATTTGGTATATTATTTCAAGGGCAGTGAGATGCTACTGAGGAATTTTGAGCTGGGGGCTCATGATCCAATTAAAATGTTAAAATCATTCTGGCTCTTATGAAGAACAGATCCAAGAGGATTCTGTCGGCTTATGAAGAGCTCTTAGGAAAACTATGGGTCTTGTGAATGGGAAAACTACTTCAGCTTTTAAAGCTAGTTTTGAAAAGACATATTGTCAATTAAGTGACAGTGAATGGAAACAATGATTGACAAATCAATTTATCTCTGAATAACCCACTAGATCAGTGCTTCTCAAACTTTAATATGCATTCCAATCACCCAGGTGTTTTATTAAATACAAATTCTGGTTCAGTAGGTCTGAAGTGGAGCATTTCTACATTTCTAACAAAATCCCAGGTGATCATTCCTTGGCTCACACTTTGAATAGCAAGTAACTGGACTATATTCTAAATTCTAAATATATTCTATAGGATATATTCTACCTTTTAATGCCTCTCAGACTTCTTGTGGTCTAGCCATTTGTCATACTTGAGTATTCAAAACTGGAGGTTTTAAGAGATGAATTAAAGTATGGAGGACATGGAGAAACAGGTCAAATAGGGCTTTTCATCTCTTCAATAAATATTCTATATATACTTCCTTCCTATCTACCTACCTAACCTGTCTGCCTACTTCCCTACCTCCCTGCCTCAAGGTTCAGTTGCACTTCAGAAAGAACTGTATGCAATCAAAGTAATGTTCCGGACAGTTATACAGAAATAGTATGTGAGGCTCTAAAACTTTTCTTCTAATGGGGTGATTTGCATCATTAATTGAGGCTTACTCTGTGTGCCAGGCATTTTACCTGCCTGATTCATTTAATAGATAGGAACCTAGGAACCCTTAGAGGATAGTTTCTTGTCCAAGGATGTACAACTCAGCTCTGACTTACTCACACTGGACCCTCTCATTCATTACCTTAATTATTGCTATTTTGTTTGTTTAGTAACTACGCTCTTAAATACAGAAAACTTAAGGTTCTTTATTCTGCGGGTAAAGGCTTTGTATTTCTCTAAAGAATTTATGGAGCCTTGTAGCCATGTCACAATCGTTTTATAAAGGTCTCAAGTGGTAAATAAGCCTGCCCCTTCTTTTGGGGGAGGGGTGCAATCTTTTATTAGCAATACAATTTTTCTTTGTGGCACATGAACCCAAGGTCTTGGGAAACACATTGATCAAGCAAAGGGAAAGGTTTGAGATTATGCCCTATGATTGAGATTATGCTCGTTGGGGAAAACGGTAGGAAATTTTACACTGCTCCCTGGTTCTTAGGAAATGAGAGCTAAACAATATCCAGTTTAAAAAGAAATCTGCATTGAGTTTCTAAATTTTATAAAACAGAGTTAAACCAAACAGATAGTGGTAGGTCCTGTTTTGCTTTACTGAGGAAGTGACAGAGAATCCTAGTCTCATTTGGTAAGAGAGAAAACTGCAGTTATTAACATCTCCACGGAAATGCTCAATTACTCCTTACTAGTAGACTCCGGCTAAATCGGTTTTACCCAGTCCTCCGACAAACCAGATTTGTTGGTGTTTTGCGAGACGGCATTGTATCGTTCTCGGTTCGGTTTGATCCGCCCCCCTTCTTAAAGAGCCATTAAACCCTTTAATAGGCCTGGGTTTGGCTTGAAGACTTGCGGAACGGCCAGCTTCCTCGCGCTGCAATTGGCTTTCCAGGCTGAGTTGGGTTTCCGATGTACGGATGCTGCCAAGGCGCGCTGGCCGTAAACTCTGGAAAGACGCCAAAGAAAAGTGAAGTTCCTGGCGCGCGGCCCCTGTCCCGCTCCGAGAGCCGCGCGCTAGCGCATTCTTCGTGCAGTTATTGGCTGGGACTCTGCGTGCCGCTGTCGGCCAATGAAGACGCCGGAGATCTGGCCCCGGCCCGTCCCCTCTCGGCGCCCCGGGATGAGGCAGAGACTGAACAGCCGGCGAGCAAATCAGCGGCACCCAGAAAGCCATGTCCGACTCGGCGCCCAGCGCTCAAGCGCTAACCCGCTGAAAGTTTCTCAGCGAAAGCGCCGGGACGCTCTGGACCCCGCTAAGAGGAGCTGCCTTTGAGTGAGATGGTCCCAGAGGCCTGGAGGAGCGGACTGGTAAGCACCGGGAGAGTGGTGGGAGTTCTGCTTCTGCTCGGCGCCTTGCACAAGGCTTCCGCCGTCATTCGCTATGAGATCCTGGAGGAAAGAGAGAAGGGGTTCGCGGTGGGCAACGTGGTCACGGACCTTGGCTTGGATCTCGGCAGCCTGTCAGCCCGCAGGCTCCGGGTGGTGTCGGGCGCTAGCCGAAGATTCTTTGAGGTGAACCGGGAGACCGGAGAGATGTTCGTGAACGACCGCCTGGACCGCGAGGAGCTTTGTGGGACCCTGCCCTCCTGCACCGTAACTCTGGAGTTGTTGGTGGAGACCCCACTTGAACTGTTCAGAGCGGAAGTGGTGATTCAGGACATCAACGACAACAATCCCGCTTTCCCTACCCGGGAAATGAAATTGGAGATTAGCGAGGCCGTGGCGCCGGGCACGCGCTTTCCGCTGGAGAGCGCGCACGATCCCGACGTGGGAAGCAACTCTTTACAGACCTATGAGCTGAGCCGAAACGAGTACTTTGCCCTTCGAGTGCAGACGCGGGAGGACAGCACCAAGTACGCGGAGCTGGTGCTGGAGCGCGCCCTGGACCGCGAGCGAGAACCGAGCCTCCAGCTGGTGCTCACGGCGCTGGACGGAGGAACCCCGGCTCGCTCCGCCACCCTTCCCATCCGCGTCGCCGTGCTGGACGCGAATGACAACGCGCCCTCCTTCAACCAGTCCTTGTACCGGGCGCGCGTCCCCGAGGATGCGCCCCCCGGGACTCGCGTGGTGCAAGTGCGTGCCACCGACCTGGACGAAGGCCCCAACGGTGAAATCATTTATTCCTTCGGCAGCCACAATCGCGCCGGCGTGCGGGAACTATTCTCCTTAGACCTCGTAACCGGGGTGCTGACAATTAAGGGTCGCCTGGACTTCGAAGACACGAAACTCCACGAGATTTACATACAGGCCAAAGACAAGGGCGCCAATCCCGAAGGAGCACATTGCAAAGTTTTGGTCGAGGTTGCGGACGTGAATGACAATGCCCCGGAGATCACCGTCACTTCCGTGTACAGCCCGGTCCCCGAGGACGCCCCCCTGGGAACCGTCATCGCTTTGCTCAGCGTGACGGATCTGGACGCTGGGGAGAATGGGCTGGTGACTTGCGAGGTTCCGCCAGGTCTCCCCTTCAGCCTCACTTCTTCCCTCAAGAACTACTTTACTTTGAAAACCAGCGCGCCCCTGGATCGGGAGACTGTGCCAGAATACAACCTCAGCATCGCTGCCCGAGACGCTGGGGCGCCCTCCCTCTCGGCCCTCACGACGGTGCGGGTGCAAGTGTCCGACATCAACGACAACCCTCCACAATCTTCCCAATCTTCCTACGACGTTTACGTGGAGGAAAATAACCTCCCCGGGGTTCCCATACTAAATCTAAGTGTCTGGGACCCCGACGCCCCGCAGAACGCTCGCCTTTCCTTCTTTCTGTTGGAGCGAGGAGCTGAGGCCGGGCTCGTGGGTCGCTATTTCACGATTAATCGCGACAGTGGCGTCGTGTCATCCTTAGTGCCCCTGGACTATGAGGATCGGCGGGAGTTCGAATTAACAGCTCACGTCAGCGACGGGGGCACCCCGGTCCTGACCACCAACATCAGCGTGAACGTATTTGTCACTGATCGCAATGACAACGCCCCCCAGGTCCTGTACCCCCGGCCGGGCCGGAGCTCGGTGGAGATGCTGCCCCGAGGCACCGCTGCGGGCCACGCGATCACGCGGGTGGTAGGCTGGGACCCTGATGCGGGATACAACGCCTGGCTCTCCTACAGCCTCCTGGGAGCCCCCAACCAGAGCCTTTTTGCGGTGGGGCTTTACTCGGGTCAAGTCAGCACGGCCCGCCCGGTCCAGGACTCAGACTCGCCCAGGCAGACGCTCACGGTCTTGATCAAAGACAACGGGGAGCCGGCGCTGTCCACCACCGCCACCCTGACTGTGTCAGTCACCGAGGACTCCCCAGAAGCCCGGGCTGAGTTCCCCTCGGGCTCCGCCCCTGGAGAGCAGAATAAAAGCCTCACCTTTTATTTACTGCTCGCTCTGATCCTGGTCTCCGTGGGGTTCGCAGTTACAGTGTTGGGAGTGATCATATTCAAAGTGTACAAGTGGAAACAGTCCAGGGACTTATACCGAGCCCCGGTGAGCTCCCTGTACCGCACGCCGGGGCCCTCCCTGCACGCGGACGCCGTGCGGG